CAAATCTCACCAGGCTCAAGGTTGACTCAGCCTTCCATCCTTCCGAGGTGGATAAAATGACCCTTTTTTTTTTTTTTGGGGGGGGGGGGGGGGCAATATGCTGACTCTGTAAACTGCTTAGAAAGGGGCTGTAAAGCACTCTGAAGCAGTATATAAGTCTAAGTGCTATTGCTATAACTGACCAGTGTCCACATTTTATGACTATTGTTTCACAGTCTGATTGTAACATTCAGTGGCTGAATTTCTTCCCGTCCATTGCCACCCCAGAGCTTTCTTTCACCATGCATACATAAGTCTTTGACTAAAACAGTGTTACTGAAACTGCTGTTATTCACCCTTAAGGACTATAATACTGAGTTTTTTCTTTTGTCTCTGCTGCCCCCATGTGGATAGTTTTACCCTGAAACCAGGGGTGTCAGTCTTGGATATTGTATTCCCAGGGTCACTATTTCATTAAAAATGCATCAATTGGAACTGTCTGCTGCACCTGTTAATGCCCATGCATTAGCAAACTCGAGGCTCTGTGATATACAACCCACTCACAACCAACTAAATTGTTGTTTATTTGGGGTGGGATCCAGGCTTTATGACAGAGTTGTGCTAATATGGAAAGGAATCCATTTACTTCAATCTGCTCAGGGTTCTTTCCTTGATTAATTCCCATCTTGCTCTGTCATCAGACATTTTGGAGACTAGGCTGACCCCCTTTTCTCTGAGGTAGCTTCTCAAATATTGGAAGACTGCTATCATGTCACCCCTGGTCCTTCTCTTTGTTAAACATTAGACATACCCAGTTCCTGCAACCATTCATGTGTTTTAGCCTCTAGTTCCCTAAATTTTGTTGCTTTTCTCTGCACTCCGAGAGTCTCAACGTTTTTTTTTATACCGTGGTGACCAAAACTGGATACTTGTAATAAACCATTTCCTCCACTTAGTGGAATCATGAAATGATGTAGGACTGAGTAGCATAAGAAATATCTACGGGACAAGGCCTTTAGCCCAAATGATTAAAAACTACTGTCCACTAGCCCACAGAGTAATGTTTCAAATTTCAATATTCTATATAGGATTATGAACTCTTGAAGAAAGAACGAGTCTGAAATGTAATATAGGTAGTCTTCATTTAGTAACCACAATTGGGACCAAAACTTGGTGTTAAGCAAAGTGATTGCTAAGTGAAACTGTGTTTATCATCTTACTACAGCTTTCCTTTGCTTTACAGACATACAAAGATCATAAATAAATGTGAAGACTGTTTGCAAAAAGTTACTTTTGTCATTACCGTCAGAACTGTGAATGGTTGCTGTACAAGGCAGTCACTAAATGAGCATTAACTAAACATTATCATTAAACATTTATGCTTCCTTGCAGCTCCATTTATAGGAGCACATTTCTTGACACATTTTCATTTTTCATTTAATTTATTCCTTTTTTTAAAAAAGGAAAAATATCAAAGACAACCATACTAGGAAATCTAAATCATTTGTACCTTGTGCTTATGCTTCCTCTATTATTTCTGTGAAGTAGATTAATCGGAGATATAATGATTGGCCCAATGTCACTATAAGTCTCATGGCTCCAGGAATTCTATTTTTTAGAGTGAAGGGTTTTAAACGTGTTTGACTCAATTACCTCTTTTCCTGATCTCAGGAAAATGTCATTACTTCACAAAAACAAACAACAAAAATACCACCCCCCCCCCCCCAAAAAAAAAAAGATTCTGCTCTTCACAGCAGCAGTCTCAAACTGGAACTGATTCATAAATCAGCGATTACATATTGCTCCATTACCTTCAGGATTATGCCTAAATTCTCCTCAATTTAAGAACCACTGCTTTAGAGGAAGACAAACACTACCAACAAAGAAAGGTTTAATTTAGCATATAGTTACCCAATATGCTTGCTTTGCCTATATTTGTTATGGACTCCCCATAATGTCGCCGAGACATGACAGGGGATGTTGTTGGGCTGGGTAATGTTGTGAGAGGTTCAGGGTCAGAAACAGAGGTAGATTCTTTTGCTGGATTGAGAAAGCTTGGCTTCATGTGTTCGTAAGGTAGTGGATTTGTGGTGTTATACCAATGTATTTGCACAGGAGAAATATTACTATAGTGCTTCAGAATTAAAGGTTCTAGTCTATAGGCCTGCAAATAAGAAGACAAATAAAGAAACTGTGAATAGGGAACATTTTAGTTATATCCATTTTTCATCTGGTCAAATATCTACCCATTTATCACTTAAATGTTTAAGTAATGTTCCTTCTCTCTTCACCTCCACTTAAAAGGCTTAAACAATATGACTGATGCTAAATCCAATCTCGGTCGGTCACCAGGAACAGAGGTTTGGTCTTCTGAGCTTTAGGACTTGTGCTGGAGTCCATCCTCAGGGAACTTTCTCTCTATTCTATTCTAGGCATACTATTTATGTGGTGCCACACACAACCAGGCACCATATAAATACTAGGCATAGAATAGTCCAAATATATACTCCATTACAGAGAAGTTCCCTGGCGAATTCTAGAATGAGTCCAAAAAATCGGAAGACTAAACCTCTGGTCCCAGTGACCGGTCAAGATTGGATCCTGCAACATTATCCTGGGACACGTATATTTGCCTTCATTCGTAATACGATTAATCTAAAGATCCTGCTGCCTAGAAAAAAAGAATCATTACTGTCCTGCAGCTTCTTATGAGCTTTACACAAACAGTCATTTTTGCTTATATTAGAATGGAGAATATTTTACATTAACTTGTTCTACACATTTGTTTTAAAATAAACAACACATGCTGATTTGGCACATTTGCACATGACCAAGAAACATCAGCAATATACATGGAAATCATGAGCAATTTGCTTTGCTAAGTTTTACTAAGGATACTAGTACATTTAAGATAAAGTACGTTTTTGAATAAATTGTTTTCTTTTAACATTTCTAAAACAACCACCCCACATTTATGAAAACAAAAATGACATTTTCTACTTATATAATACATCTAGTTCAGGCAGTTGATGTTTCTGATGTTTAGATATTTCTTCATATTTTCTTTCATATTTGAGTTATTGGGAGTTAGGCGGCTATAAATTTGATAAACAAATACATAAATAAATATATAACCCGTGACCAAGAAAGAAAAGAAAAGACAGACCCTGAAGAAAGACAGAAGGTCAAGACACATATTATGCGTTAGGATAGTATATATGGAAGTCCCTTTGCAGAACCTAATTTAAAAAGGCTATTTTGTGTGACTAAATTCATCAAGGAAATTGTTTCTGCCAAGTCCAACTAGAAGTGAGCTATGACAATTACTTGGTAGCCTGTGATATCCATTTTTTTTTTTAAAAAAAGCTTATATATGTGTGATTGTACATTATCTTCAAGTCCATCAACTCTGAATTCATCTGTAATGGGGCCATCCATCCCACACTGTTCCATTTTATCAAAAATGGCCATCGTCCAGTTTACCAAATGCTTTACTACTATACTTCATCCATAACATTCTCTTGGCCTACTACTCTAGTTATTTTGTCAAAAAATGTAATGAAATTTGTTTGGCATAATCTATTTTTTAACAACTAATACTGGGTTCTAATAATCACTCTGTTCCTTTCTAAATGCTTGCGAACTCACTATTTGATCTACCTTTCTTAGATTTTCCCAGATACTAAGGTATCAAGCTGATTGGGCTGTATCCTGGGCCACTTCTCCCCCTCCACTTTTCATAAAACTGCAACAACATTTATATTTTCTCTAGTCTTTCAGAACTTTTCCAGTTCTGAAATCACATCTGCCAGTTTATTTAGCATCCTGGGATATAATCCATCCATGCAATTAAGACTCGAGTTTATTCGAAGTAGCTAGGTGTTCTCTCACAAATTCCTGGCCTATTTTGACCTGCACGTCTCTTCTGCCCCAAATTCCAATGCTGAACCAAATTCTGAAGCTGAACCATTTTTCTTTTTGTGAAAAGACAGATGCAAAATAAGAATTAAGCAGTTCAGCCTTTTCCAAACAGCAGATGGACCATTTCCCTCACATTCTTCCTGTTCTGCACATACCCCAATGAGATTTTTTTTTTTTTTAAAAAGGGCTTAATTGCAAGGTTCTGTTGATTCTTAACCTTAGCCTTTGTAAAAGTTGCAAAATAGGTTTTAAGGATTTGAACTATCTTCTCAGTTTTGGCTTTTTTATGATCTCCTCTTTCCAAGTTTAAATTCCATGTTTTGTTTCTCTATTTCTCAGAAAGCTCTTTATGCCATGATACTGGTCTCATTAGCTATTTCCCATTTTTCTTTTTCTTTGGTATTGTTTGTGTTTGAGCCTTAATTACTTCACCTTTCAGAATTTCCCAACCGTCTTGAATTGTTTTTCCCTTCAGGACTTCCACCAATGGAATCCTTCAAATTTTTTCCCTTAGAAAAAAATCCTGATATATTATGGCCTAATAAGCGTCATTGTCATTTTAATGGGATTAAAATTTTGCTATCTGAGGGGCTACCTCATCTGATTCCATGATAGTTGCCTGTTCTGTGAAAGCTTGCTACTATACACTCACCACTGGATCTGTTGGATGAAAAATGTTTAGCAACCGGTTACAAATTTTTCTGGGTAGAATGTGATCTTGAGATCCACTGTTTCCTGGACGGATGCCACGCAAGGCCAAAAACACTGCTAATGGAGATCCCATACAGAAGAAATTGTCCACCTATGGAAACATTTCATTTGATATTAACAGGCAGAGTAATAGGCAGCTGGTCTAGCACACAGCAGGAAACTTTGAGGTAAGGAAGAAGAGCTGTGATCTCATTGCCTTGAGAAACAATACAAATTGAGAAAAGCCACAATTTAATAATGAATTAATAATCTTTTTGTGTTATATGATAACCAAAGAAAGCCATGTTACAATACTATAGTGTGGTTTTGGTTTTTTCCTGAGAACATTTCAACCAAAATACGTATTGCAGAAAGGTTGGGGAAACTTGTGCGCTTAAAAAGAACTCTTCAGAATATTTCCAAAGCAGAACACAACTCTGCTTCTCTGACCAGATGGGAAATTAAGAAGGTTGTGGCCATTACTTAACTGTAACTTAGGAAAGCTGAGGTTTTTTTCCCCCCTAACAAAAACTTCAAGGAAGATATGGTAGTACGAGGAAAGGCCATGGGAGACAGGGAATGGAGCAACAGCTAGGAGGACAGTCAGTTATGTTATATGCTTGCACGTGGGGTCCCAAACATGTTAAGGAACCCATTTCCTGGTTATATTGATAGTTATAATTTTTTGCAGTTCATAGACAGAAACATACATTTATTTATGTGTTGTGTTTGCACTTGGTTCTAACTGTTCTTATGATTGTTTACAGTCCAGAGTGACTTGTCTGAGAAGAATAGCTATAGAAACTGAATAAACAAACAAGAGGCAGTTTAATCCGCAACAAGAATGTGGGTGTGACAAATATCCCAGAAGGAACCCTCCCTAATTTCTTGGGCTCTAAAGGCAACTGGGGAGAAATGTAATTTCAGACTTGCAAGATTCTGTTGTTGTAACCTTACAATAAAGAAGAACTGTGGCTCATCTGGGCGTGTTTCCTGTGTGGGTTACTATGAAAGGCTGCCAGAAGATGAACAACAAATAAGTTTTAAAATATTTAATATCCAGCATCCTAGAGAATCCTATATGCCAGGATACAGTGATGGATGATCTTTTAAAAAGTCCAATACCAAATATATGGTAATTTCTCATAAAATTAAGCTACAGTTATTAAGATGTGTTCAATATCAGAGACGCGACTTCTTCAAAACAATCTGATCACAACTTGCAGATATACTGATTGGCTGACAGTAATAGATGCCAGCTTCCTATTATGCTCATATTCCTTTGTATAAACTGCATTTAAAAAAAAATGATTTTTTAAAAAAAACATATGAACTGCTAGCTAGATTGAGATGACAAGGGAGAATAAAATTGGGGAGAAAAAGGTAAATTCACACTATTTTCAGTGATGTATCTTTTAATGTTGCAGAGACAGAAAACTCGAGGCAAAAATAGTATCCAAATCTGCATAACTTCTTTTCACTGGGAGTGTACATATTGAAAACAATTCATGATGTACAGCCAAAACCAGCTAAATGATGTTAGATAGCCTGACTCAGGTCAGCAGGTACCACGCCCTTCATGTCTTGATTATTTCCTCCTATCCTCTGTTATATAATAAGGAAAATAGTACTTTTTCTGTTTGAAAATAATCCATTTCCTGGTAATATTTGAATTAAGAAGTTTTGTATATAGAAGACGTATTCAAGTTGAAAGTAGAATTGGTAAAAAAAAAAAAGTGTTGACCAGCTTGTTAAAAGTGGCCTATTAGAAAGAAAAGACATTCCTTATCTATTCATACCTTGAATTTTAAGGCAGGTGTTTTGGCTACAGTTGATGTCTTTAGTCCATGCAATCTATCTTCTATCTCCCTCAGCCTAGGAGAAAATTAACACTGGCATTAATGTTTTTAATTAGAACACCCAGTCCATTCTATTTATTTTCCATATATATGGCAACAGTGGAAAACATGATATTTTACTTAAGAAAACAGTGGAGGGGGGGAAAAAATCACCCTTTTCCCCATGGTCCATCTGGCCCATTCCCTAGTGAAGAAGTGAATAATCTTTAAGAAATGTCCCTGATCTTCCTAAAAGGCCTTTATGAAGACTGAAGTCAACTAAGCGTTGCATGCATCATTACATTACTTCTGCCAGTGAAGTCTAAAAAAAAAAAAAAATCATGGATAGAAATGGCCTTCAATATTTATTTTACCAAGGCACAGCTGAACTAAGATCTGCCTATGTATCAACCTATCCTGTTTTCTCAAAATGGTGCTGAATCTACTCATGGATTTTCTTCATGCCAGGGATCTCTTTAGTAATCCAAGGATATTTTCTTACTGTTTCTTGGTTAAGTAAAACTCTTCTAGCAAACGCTGCTCCTCGTAGGTCATCCAAGAGTGCTCGAGAACATCATATTCCTTCTCAAGCAACTGTTCATAGAGCCTGACTGGATTCCATCCTGTCATGATATCATATGTAATCACACACCCTAAGGAATGTGATACAATAGACACTTTCCCATCTTTTTCTGTAAATTCTGGATTCCGGGAACAGAAAAGTGTGTACAAACGATTCATCTCTTGCTGAAGGCCTTTTACCAGCTGTATTAAAAGTGTCAGGAAAAGAAACAGAGAGAGAGAGAGAGAGAGAGAGGTGAAAAAATCATTTAAAAACTATTCTGCATATTGTTAGCTTCTGCATTCCTGCTTATATTTAAGTGCAAATTTTATGGCCAATCGAAATGGATAGAAAAGCAGATGAAGAGCAACCAGTTTTGGCCTCCACATTTAATGCAATAGTAGCTTTTAAATGTATCATTTAAGTAAACAAAGAGCAAAGTCTTTTAAAAAGCTAAAACAGAAAGATTCCTACTTAAATTATCATGCTTGCAGCTTAACCCATTAAAATGCCATCTATTTAACAATATATATTAATCACAAGCAACCTGTTTTCAGGTACAAGATACTGTAGAGAGGCTACGGTATTTAGATAATTAACAAATTAGAGCAGATTGAAACAAAGTAATTTGCAACAAGAGGATTCAAATAAACATTGTGGAAAATCTGTGTGGAGGCACGAAGTATCATTAAGGTTTTCTACTTTGATGCAATCAGATCAGGCAGCATAAATATGGAAAGGAGTATCTCAAATAGCAGCTAAAGGATTGGGCTAGAAATTGGGGTGCCATTTTAGTTCTCTCTTAGGAATGAAAGCTGGCTAAGTGACTCTGGGGCACAACAGGATTGTTGTTAGGATCATAGGGGGTAGCAACATTGAACTGACCCAAAATAAAGTTGGGATAAGCATTTCATAAATAAGTAAATAAACCCCATCTCAGAAGATCAGAACAATCAGCTCTTTTTATCAGTCATATTTATGCTCTGTTTCTGTTGAGCGGTGCAGTCCATTTGAAAAGACAATAGTTATTTAATGCATAAGTTCCAAGTCTGGGAGAGGGGGACCTGAAATATGATTTGTGATATAAGAAAAAATAAATGGCCTGGCTATAAAAAAAGAGAAAAACTGCAAAATGAGAAAAAGACAGTAGTGACTTTTTGTAGTATATAGTAGTGTACCTAATTTGTTAGAAGTGGGAATGAAGTATCTACTTGGTATATTTGAAGAATATAATAGTTTAGATACCTGTTATAATATAGTTTAGACCCTGTCCCTGCTATGGAAATTTCTTATTACAATGTAAGCCTGACCCTTTCTAATTAAATACATTTCAGGTGTGTGGCAGAGTTTTTGCTTTCTGACTATTGTATCATTTAAAGATCTTTCTCCTTTTTCATAGAAAGTTCTTGATCATCAAAAATTGTACACCTCTTGACTATATGAATATTTATTCTATTTATCATACTATTTGTCAGGGGAAGAATATCTTGGATGCTACAATCCATCGTTCGTTTATTCTTCAAAAATAGTTTTCTCTTTTTAAATTTTAAAATGTCTACTGACGCTATAATATTTGACTGATCTTTTTCTTTATGTACCGTATTTGCCGGCGTATAAGATGACTTTTTTGCCCTGAAAAACATGCCTCCAAGTGGGGGGGTCGTCTTATACGCCGGCAAATACGGTATATCCACTGCCGGCTTTCGGATGCTTGTGGGACGCAGCGAAGGCGCCTCTGGCTTCCCGGATCCCCCGCGTCGCTTCCGCCAAGAGCCTCCCCGCGTCTCTGAATCAGGTTCGAATCCCGCTCGCCTCGCTCCGCCCGAGGCTGCAGCGACTGGGGGGAGCGAGAGCGTGGGTCGCTCCTGTCACCCCAGGCAGGGCCATGTGAAGGCTGCCCACCTTCCTGCTCCTCCCACGGCCCCTGGCACTCCGTCCTGCCGCTGCAGCCCCGGGGATTTCTGGAGGGCGTTTCCGGTGACCCCGCCGGGATCGTTTGGCTGACCTAGCAGACATGTTGCAAGAGGACTCTGTTGGGGGAAAGCCCGAGGGACTCCGCCGGGAAGGGCCAGGGTTCTGGAGTAACGCCTGCCTACTCCGAGACACGCTCCTTTAGACAGTCCATCTAAGAGAGTTCAAACATCCTTCACTCCCAACACCGAATAACATACACACTGTGTAAATATTGGATGATTAGTTAATTATCCATATTTTAAATAAATGTAATTGTTGTGTTCCATGTTTTGTATTTCATTTTCTATACTTCTACATTTAGTTGTATATTTTGTTTATACATGATAGCGGTCTGAGGGGCTGCCACAGGGAGGAGGGGGTCAAGCTATTTTCTAAAGCGCCTGTAGGCCAGACAAGGAATAAGGGATGGAAACTGAACAAGGAGAGATTTAACCTGGAAATAAGGAGAAACTTTTTGACAGTGAGAACAATCAACCAATGGAACAGCTTTCTCTCAGAAGTTGTGGGAGCACCATCACTTGAGACCTTCAAGAAGAGATTGGACTGCCATTTGTCAGAAATGATGTAGGGTCTCCCACTTGGGCGGGGGTGGGTGGGTTGGACTAGATGACCTACAAGGTCCCTTCCAACTCTGAATATCTGTTATCTGTTTACTTTTTTAATTTAAATGAAATTTACCCTGGATGTTTGAATTGGTCATATAGTTTTACTCAATTTTTTTACTCAATTTAGTTTTACTGCTATAAAGCAGAGTAAGTATGTTGCTTACACAGTGTCTTAGTGGTAAATGATAGACAGACACATGTAAATACGAATTTATATGTATAATATCAAAATAACTACCGTATTTGCCGGCGTATAAGATGACTTTTTTGCCCTGAAAAATATGCCTCCAAGTGGGGGGATCGTCTTATACGGCGAGTATATAACAAACTCTATATTTTGAGTGGAAATGTTGGGGGGTCGTCTTATACGCCCAGTCGTCTTATACGCCCAGTCGGCAAATACGGTAGCTTACAAAGCACATTTCTCTCTGACTCCTACAATCAAATTTCTCATCCCAATTGCTGGATGACCTTCTTAAACTATGTAACATTTTTGAATTTTTAAGGAAAATCTCTTAAAGAGATTGTTACCCTCTTATCTAATGCATAGTTAATTTCATTTTGAAACTGAAGGGAATAACTTATTCTCATGCAAAAATATTGAGAGGGGATTTTTTTCCTCATAGAAATGTCTCCTGCTTCTACACTTCAGCTCTTTGCTGCAGCTAACAATTGATTCTTTGTAGGATAAATCCTGTGATCTCATTATTTGCAAACTGCTCCTTAGCTCACTTCTTACTCCATGCCTACTAATTAAGTAAGCAACCCAACACACTTAAACAGCAAAGGAACTACTGCGCTTATACTGAAAGTGTTAGAAAATTATCAATGAGAATTTTATTAGACAAATCATGGAATTATTTTTGTAAAGGATAATTAAAGTTGTATTTTTATGTAAAGTTGGATAATTACAGAAGCTGTAGAGGATAATTTAAGTTGGGTTTAATTCCGTATTCAATTATCAAAGCATACAAAAAGTCCTGCTGAATCTGGATACAAAGTCCAACATAATTTAACTTTTTGTTCAAACAGTAGCTAGGCAAATCATCTTTTTTTTTTTGAATTTTTTTTATTGTTTTAACAACAAACAAAAACACATAAAACATAAGACATAAAACATAAAAGCATCATCATCCTTCATAAATTTACAAACAGTGTATCGGTTGGTTTACCACTTTTTTTTGTGCATCCATTTCATAGTCTCCATTGTAGTTGTATTACAAAATAGCTCATATTATCAATCAACAATTATATAGCCTGATATCATTATTAAACAATCATTTGACTATAATTTTATTAATTCATACTTTAACGAGATAACTATGGTTTACTTAATTTATTTTATAGCAAATCATAAAGTCATACCAAGTCTATCTTAATAAAATTTTATAAAGATACTATCAAAGAAAAAGAAAAAAGATGGCAAATCATCTTAAAGCGCGGTGTGAAGGCAAGAAACATTTCCACTATGCTTCTTGTTTAAACAATATTTCATGCCATTTCTAATATTGCAATGATATAGCTACTGATAGATTTATTTCTTATGGATGTACCTAAATCCCCTCCAAGTCAAACTGGTTATCATTACTGCATCTGTGATACTTAAGTCCATAATTTCATGGCATATTGGTATCTAAAACGACATCTGTAACAACACAACAGCCTAAGGCAAACAAATTTTCAGCCTCATCTAGCTCACAAGGTCACTGCAAATAAAACATGTTGACTCAGTCATGGACAGTTATGTATTTGCTAACCCGTGTAGCCATCACATTATAAGAATGGACTTTAAAAATTTACTACCAATAACCATGATTAATTGCACATTCCCCCAGTGCTGACAGAAGTGAGATTTATTTAATGGATACACCCCACAACTTTACATGTGTCTGAATCAAGTCTGTATTGGGCTACTCAATTGCTATCACTGCATAGCTGGAATGTAGAGACTCAAAGAGGAGGGTGACATAGTTAAATATTATTACATCCCACTTTCACAGCATAACTTACTATACTTCTTTCTTGCCTCTTGCTTGGTAAATGAGGGACTATAGGCTGATACTTGTAAGGCTAGGTTTTCCAACATCCAATTGGTGCTGTGATAGTGTCTTTTGGCACACAATGTCTGGAAAAGATGCTGACCATACCCTATTACTGTACTATTTTGGAGTATAAGACGCTCTGAAGTATAAGACGCACCTAGCTTTTGGGGAGGAAAACAAGAAAAAAAAGATCTGCCGCTCAGCAATTTGCTTCCTTGCAGCCAACAGCCAACAGCCTGGTCAGCTTCAGCACCACTTGATTAGCACAAGAAGGTGTCAGTTGGCCTCCCGACAATCAGATGTTTCAAGCTGCGGGGACTGCCATAGCCTATTATCGCCTCTGTTCGCCTCATTTTTGGCCTCTGCAACCCGTTTTCAGCCTCCACATGCCCCATTTTCAGCCTCCGTGTGCCCCATTTTTGGCCCGTTCTGGACAGCAGGGATTGGAATGGGTGGAAAATGGGGCGCATGGAGTCCGAAAATGGGGCAGGTGGGAGGCCAAAAATGGGGTGCCGAGGCCAAAAATGGGATGCGCGGAGGCAGCAATAGGCAATGGCGATCCCTGCAGCCTGAAACAGCTGATCATCGAGATCCAACCGACAATCAGCTGTTTGTGCTAATCAGGCTGTGCTGAAGCTGAAAGAGGCTGTTTGCTGCAAGGGTGGGGCTGGTGGGTGGGCGGGGCTTCAGCAACATTCCCTGTATAAGACACACAGACATTTTCACCCACTTTTGGGGGGCAAATAAGTGAGTCTTATACTCCCCAAAAATACAGTACTCACTGTGTTATTTGACTATAGGACTTCCAACTGCAGAGCCCTACCATGCAGGAAATATCAGGGCTCCAATAAATAAGCAATGAGTGTGGAGGTGCCCTATGTAATACCTTCTTTTCTAAATAATCTCTCTTCTCTTTATTGTTTGGCACTAAGGACTCCCCTTTTAGAGTCCTATTAACTCAAAGCCTGGTTATAATGAGGTTAAGAACCAAATTAGAAAAACTATGAGGTCAGTTCTAAACCTTCACCTTTCCTTCTTGAATAGAGAATTCTATAGAATGGTTCAACCCAAGGCATCATTTTTATTTATTTATTTAATCTAATTTATACAGCATGAACACATCATTTCTGCAATTGTTTCCTACAGGATTCCCAATCATCTGTACAGGCTTTAATATTTTAAATGATATATTCATGCCAATCTGACTGAAAAACAACCTTTCTTGTCATTTTATTTGAATTTCTCTCACTACTGCTTTTACCACCCAATACTCGGTGTTCATTTAGTTCACCCATATTCAAAATAAAAACTTTAAAACTATGACTGGTTATTACCATACATAAAAACAGAGGACAAGTATTCATTATTTTGTTGCTATAAAATGAAACTTCACCCTTCCTATAGAATGGATCTTCACACTCTTCTTTAAGATAATATAGAAACTGAAGTATGCTTAACTGAAAAAGTTTTTGCTGGGCCATTTTTTTCCACACTTAACAACATACATACCTCATCTCTATAGAGGGGACTTGTGTAATACATTATGTCCATTGCACTGCTGTTAAGCAAATCCCTTAGTCCACGAACTTTATCTGGAGTAATAGAGTCAACAGTGTCTAAAATGAAAAAAAAAAAAAAAAGGAGATCAAAGTGTGATAAAACCTTAAATGATTCAAAATCAACAATTCAAACCATCTAAATCCCTAACTATGGAAATTGCTCAAGTGCTGTAATAATGTCCTTATTCATCACTACCAATGTTTTCCTTCTATATCAGTTTAGGCAGCTGAAGGATGTTTGGGATTAAATTTAGAGCCAACGGACTTAAATAAGCAGATAGCATCCAAAAACATTTACAGTACGGATGGGTTTCTTGCTACTTGTTCACTGAACAAGTGAAACTCAGTGCTAGAGAATATATTTTAAAAATGCCACTTTCCAAGTATTACCAATCTTATCAGGGTTTTTTTTTAAATGAAAGAAATACCTCCATCAAGTGTAAGTTTAGATCTCCATTCTACTGGCAAGAATTCAACGTGTGTTGCAAGGTTGCCAAAATATTTCTCTTCAATTTTCCTTGCAGTTTCCCGCATCCTAGAACATTAAAAAAAACAAAAACAAAAACAAATGCTAGACTGAAAAATAAGACTACTTCTCATAAATAACAATAATCTGCAAAGCAGACATTTATAGGAAATCATCTTGCCCTATTGTTTCTATTTGACCAGAAAGTTCTGGTAAAGTCGACATGTTCCAGGTCCCAGCTATAAAGCTCTGCCATCTTGCAAGAGCCAAAATTCAGCTGTCACATTTCATGGAAGGGTGGTGGTGGAGGAGTTGAAAAGTTCAAGGTTATTATGTATGTCATATTAAGAAATTCCAGTTGCAGTTAATTGGTTCTCGTGATTTATGAAGTGTAGAAGTGGGAGGAGAGAAGGGAGGAGAGAAGGTAGATTCTGTGTAACCCGTGAAAATAATTTCACTTTGGGAAATTGCCTTTGACATGCCAGATCTGTTTCTAAATAAATCAATTGGAGAGAAAATGTCTCGGAGTGACTGATATCATGGATACTTTCTGGATGCCTTACAGCATCTTCTTTATAGCTCCACCTCTCCTGTGAAATAGAAATCTTCCTGACTAGCTCTAAGCCTATAGTGCTTTTGCAAATCTGTAAAAATCTGGTTTCTTTAGCAGGTCCTGGGATAAAGTGAGGTGATTTGTTCTATGATAGTGCATTCTGATGTTCAATTATGATTTTGTTTCATTCTCTGGTGACTTGTATTTATTATAGTTTACTTTTTCTTATTTTTATGCCACTATTTTTAACCCTCATATTGTACAACCTGTGCCCCACTGGGTCATTGTTTCAGTTACATTTTGTTACCTAAACAGGGAAACAGACTGACTATAGGTGTGCAAAAATGTTGTGGGAGCGAGAGCTCCTTCCTTCCTTCCTTCCTTCCTTCCTTCCTTCCTTCCTTCCTTCCTTCCTTCCTTCCTTCCTTCCTTCCTTCCTCCCTCCCTCCCTCCCTCCCTCCCTCCCTCCCTCCCTCCCCTCCTCAGACATCTTATTAAAGTCTGATTTAATTTCACTTCGGGGAAGCAAAGATTTCTGTAGTATTCAAAAGTTTAGATCAGAGCAAAACACCTGTCAACTTTCTAAACACCATGTAAAACTTCCATCATGTTTATCTGATAAATGAAAAAAATCAGTACTGTAAAAGCTTCTAACAAAAACTGTAATTTAAAATCAATACAAAAGCAGGTTTTTGTAGCCTAATTAAAAAGCACATACAACTCCTTAAACAGCTCTTAAGTATATTTAAACAAAATTAACTTATTGATATTTTGTAGCATTCTTCCCATTTACTGATGGTAAATTAAAAATACAGGTTGCAAAAAAGAAATGAAACACTTACATGGCAGTATTCCTTATAATCCTTCCTTGCTCTATTTTCTGTCCAATGCCATGCACAACAAATACAATGTGAGTTGTTGGAGAAGGCTTGTCTTCTAATGTAGCTTCTTCAACATAGCCTCTATGAAGTCTGGTCCCACTACTTGAAGCTGCAGAATGAAATTGGCATCATTTAATTCCACTGGAAAAGCCAATTACTTTGTGCAAAACCATCTTTTAAGTGCCCAAGCAAAAATTTTTATTTAAAAAAAGTTTATTTAAAAATTTTATTTAAATTTTTTTCATTTGCTTTAAATATATTATAATGCATACTAAAAAACATAGATACACAAGATGTATATGTGTACTGCAGGAAGAAGGGTGTAGATTTAATAGTGAGATTAATTTTAACCCTGCAATGTTACTACTTCAATAGCAGAGATTTGTATGTAGTGAAATACTGATGTTTATAGGTATAACATTTAACAGCAGAAATCCATATGTAATGAAATACTGAGATTATTTTTTATTAAAATTGGGGAAATCCAAATTTAAACCATAAGCTCACTAGATAACTTTATGCCAATTGTTTTATTTTTGCCCATTCTACTTAAAAGAGTTTTGTGAAGATTAAATGAAGGGAAAAATCCCTTTGAATTACAAAAGAATATAGTTGCTATGTATGAATAAAATTATATGTCAAAACAATGTATGTTTCTTTATCTTAGATTGGGGTAGCCAAAATATCTTGGGGAGGTCAGCTATGTTACAGTTGAAAACCATCCCTTTATCACAAACATTTAGTAAGTTTGGCAGAAACAAAAAAAAAAACCCTACTTTGTGATTTTAGGTTAGAGAGCTAATGTTAAAGTTGCCTTTCTGAGTAGCACAGGTTCATTATTAAGTACAATTCAAAAAAAATAACCAATTCAGTTTTCACATTTTTCACGGAAACATACAATATATTCAACAAGGATATTTTGACAATGTACGCAAAACTTTTTGTGTTTTACCTTTAGAAAAACCTAGCTTCTGAGAGACTGTTCTTGCAATTTTTGAAGTTGTTGCATCACTATATAGATATACCTCATCGACACTGTGCCAATCCACATGGTTGCGACTCAGCTTCAAACTATGAACAGCTGTAGCAAAAAAAAAAGGTTTTTAATTTAAATAAAATAAATAAAATAAAAACCGCATCTCTTTAAGAAGTAGGCATAGCAAAAAACAGGGAGAAGAAAACACAAAAACAAGAGTATTGATATTACATATTAGCATGTTACCCAAATATCAAATGGTGAATAATGAAAACACATTTGTAGCTAGTAATGTTTTAAAAAGGCAGCTAGGTCCAGTAAGATTGATTCTTTTTCTAAAAGCTCAAAAACATGTAGATTTTTTTGTTGTTGATCATATTAAACAATTCTTGTACTCCATTCACTTATTTCGCTGCTTTTGTATAATATTGTAAATTTATTATGCTTATTTTGATTTTAATAACTTGTTATGAGATAGCACAGTGCACTTCCAGCTATGTAATTTTCATCTGAACAGGTAAACGTATAGTGTGTGGAGTATAAACTTCCTGGATATAAGTGAAGATGAAATTATTCTTCACATAAAAATATTCAGCACTTAACTTCTGTGTATCCTGCATTTATTATTTAAAATAGGGAATGTTTGATCCAATGTTTGGTCCCTCTGCTGTTCCCTAAATAAATGTTAGCTGCCTGCAGTTCTCAAAGGTCTGCCATCGTCTAGGAGGTTAAAATATTTATGCACTACTAAAGATTCCCATGATAGAATAAAGACAACAAGATGACAAGTTGAAGAGGCAAGTTATTCACGTGAATGGTTTTTGGAGCAAAAGAAAATTGTGCTTGAAAAGGTACACATGTTTAGCCATTGTCACATATATGCTACTCGATGATAAACATAAGATAATGCATTATGGTGTGGTAAATTAAATGTTACATAAAAAAGCAGGCTGAATCCCACCTGTTTCATTTTTATTCTTTCTGAAGAGTAGAAGATTTTGGAGGAGAATATAAGAAATAGCATAGCATTTCACTATTAGCAGTTTCTAACTTCTACATCCAATCACTATTGGATTATTATTTTTAAAGGCAAATCTTCCTTAAATATATTTAGCTTACAAAGTAAAAATCTTTGACCTTAAGATTAAATGCCATGAGTTAAACATTCTAATTTCACTAAAATCAACCAAGGATTTCCTCAGAGGTGTGGAATTACCCTATAGGTCATTAACTCATCAACTCCTTGAGTTGTACAAATAAATGCAGGATATATACATAAAGATGCATACATATATAAATGTTGCTGATCAACGATAAGATGATTAAGTCCACACCTTAAAATGGATTTTCAGAAATTATTTCTGAGGCCTAATATGCATGTTGATTTTTTTAATGGTTAAAATATGTATAAAGAATCAGAAAGCTGCCAAGGAAAGTATACAAGAAAGTCCACTGTTAGAACAACCCCAAACAGTGATGATTCTTCCCAATGTTATTTTACTGGATCTGTGGTAAGCATGAAGACTTGACAAAACTTATGGTTGTTCAAACAGTAATTATTTTTTTATGAGTCCATTGTGAAAAGATAGGAAAAATATATTTTCCTACTTACTTTACTATTTTTCTCGTGCTTTGAGAATAATCTTTCCTATTGAGAATGAGAGCACTGTTTTTATTCAGTGACAGTGCTGACAAACACTCTTATGACAAGTCCAACAAAGATGCAAATGAGCAAAGAAGAGCAATGAACTTATTTCTGTGATACCTAGGGGCAAAACATCTGGCCCAATATCCATTTCTCTTCCTCCTCAGTTTTTAAACCTCTTACATTAATCTACTTTAACATTTTCTAAATTATTAGGTTTGTCAGGTTTAATCAAAGCAATTTTATTAAAAGTATCCATTAGTTTTATAGTTGAACAGGCATTTCATTATTATCCATATCAATTTTCAATAAACAAATCATTACCTGGACTCAATTTATAAAAACCTTGCCCCTTTTTTGAAAGTGGAGGGTATTCCATGGCCAATTTTTATGTCAAGTAAATAATGTACAAAATATTTTGGAATTTTAATTAATTGTTAGTATACTTGGTCACAGCACTGCCAGCTTCTAATTTTCTTTGTAGGAAGCCATGCACAGATGGCCTCATTAAGATCCACAATGTCTCCTTTTTTGTTTTGTTTTGGAATCAGGAAATATCAAAATTGTGCAGAGGGGAAAGCATTTGGTTATCTAAATGCTCTACAGTGCTAGCTACAGTATAAAGCTTCCTATACAAGAAGACAAGAACACAAATCTGTGATTACCGTACCTTCAGACCACTTGCGTTTAACCCCTGTTGCCTCTGCATTCTCCTTATATCCTCTCCATTTGAACAGAGAATGGAGGGAGAAGGTAGGTAGGTAGTTGGCAACTAAAAGTAAAAAGACTGAGCTTCAAAGTGAACTTTTGAGAAGGTTCATAATTGGTTTGACAGGGAACTATCCTAAAAACTAACGAACACAGAAAACAGAATAAAAATAATATGGATAAATGCTAGCAAAACAGAAAAAACACTGATTTAATGAGGAACCAATTAAATATGTAAATAAAAAAATAATTTTCCTTACTTGCTCCCTGATACAAGTAAGATTATGTTTAAAGAGCAGAAAAACAACAGATATGCAATGTAAAAATGAATGGCTTCATCCATCACCTGTGAATTCATAGATATATCAGTCAGCAATTTTACTGGGATTACAAAGCACAACTCTGTAACATAGGCTCAGGACATTAGGCAGCCTAAAGAGATGGCTAAAAACAAGGGAACAAGGGAAAAGACCACCCGTAGCTTTCCAACTCTTGAAAGAAAGACAGGAAATTCCCAACATGCATTATCTATTAACAAGACTTCCATTCCTGAACAGCACTGGAGTTTCCCTGTGGTGGTAAATGCACATCCACTGTGATGCTTTCAATACTCATTTTAAGCTTCCAAGCTATTCAATGAGAATATTGAAAAAAGTGAAACCCCTGAAGATTACTGTGCTGTAGTTTGATGGACTTACCTTACCCCCACAGGTAGATGCCAGTGCTGTTCAGTGTAGGAAGGGACATCACAAGGTGAATGAATGCTGAGGTATCTCACAAGTGGCAAGTTAGGAATGAAGAGGAAGCTGCTGTGCCCCACCTAAGAAACAGGAGAACAATAAGCACCACTAAGGTCAGTTGGCATTCAAACAGGGAGTCGAGCTCACTTGAAAGACAAAATGTGACAATTTTAAAAACTGAGCATCAGTTTGGAAGTCTCTGTTTGAACCCAAAACAAAAACAAAACCTTAAATAGGTTACTGAAAATTAGATGTGGTGGTGCATTTATTGGACCCAACTGATCTAATTAAGAAAACATAAATTAAGATATGAGATAATGTTGTCAGTATCCACTGAATACTGAATGATCAGAGAAAATGATAGCTGCAACTAATTAGTAGCACCAAAACAAAGATTTCTATATATTTCTATATGTATATATCTATCCAAGTGACTCCCTCCTATCAGAGTGCTCAGTAATCATTTTCATAGTTTCAAATGGCAATTATACATTATAATGAAAACTTTAAACTCTAATGCAGATCCAATGTCCTTCTTAAAGAGAAATGCTCATTGTGTGGCATTTGTTCTGTCTCATTTCCTTCCAATCAACTACTACCGATGATACATTATTGCCTATATTTTTCCATTTGCTTTCCATGGTTGGCATGACACAGAGAATTCTGTGTGAATGATTATCCTTTAAACAGGGAAGGCAGCATATAAAAGTCCTTCTAGAAGTTTTTGCTTTAAGCCCAGAATAATAATTAATGAAGAAACAAAGGGAAAGAATTAGTGTGATGAATCTCAGAAGTTCTAGGATAACATGTTATTGTTAACTTTGAATAGCGATTTCCTACCTATTTAACTTTGCAATCAATCATGCTGTAAAATCTCTGGTACTTTACCAACTTCCCATTGTTCAAAGTCTGAAAAGACAGCCAAGAAATTAGTGAGGCAATTGGAAACTGGAGGGTGAATTGTGCCAAAATATAGAATATCATGGGTTGTATGGAAGAATAATTTTCCATCTCATTATAGAATCTAGGAGCAAACACAGAGGAAACATGTTTTTCTTTGAAATGTTTTTTCTGTGTTGGTTGTCAGAGTCTAGACAGCAATGATCCTGCATTTTTCATCTAATATATAGTATTTCTCTTCCTTATGTCACAAGAACTTTGTTCACCAAGGTTTGCTAGGGATGGAATGGGGTATTTGTATTTGTATGTTTTGCTTTTTCCCCTAAGAGATTTAGAAATGTATTGCTACTTTTAAATTTTTATCACCTTTGTTCTAATTTTTTTGTATCCTGGGTTTTCCTGGATTATAATTCAATATGATATTTATTTAAATGATTTATGGAGTCAAATTAAATATTGTATGCTACTATGAATAATATACGAATAGAAATTGTTTTTCCCTTTAAAGGATCATAAAACAAGGATGTAAAAGGCAGACACCATCAGGGAACAGATGCAATCTACTCGTTCACAAAACAGGCAACCTTCCAATTGCTTAGACAGAAGGACAAGAATTTTGCCACCCTGCACTGGTTGCCAGTTTGCTCCTAGATTTGATTCAAAATGCTGGCTATTAGATATAAAGCTCTACGTGGCATAGGTACTGGTTATTTGAGGGAGTGCCTGCCCCCACAGTATTGGCCCAGCCAATTCAATCTGGCAGGACTGGTATGTTGCAAATTTCTTTGATTAAACATGCCACCTTTTTCTATAACAGCACATACTCTATGGAATGAGGTTCTCCTTAGATCTGGATGCTCCTTATACTGGTAGGATTTCAAAGGGCCTAGAAGGATCTTTTTTCTTGCTATTTGTAAATTGCTCAGTCATTGGAGTCGGACAGTATATAAAGTTAAAATAAAATAAGTAGTAAGAAATATGGCCTGGATTCACTCTAATCCTGTAAAATGAACAACCTGAAAACAACATTACATTGCAGTTCTCTTGCAATAAGATATAAAGTATTCTGCAAGTTATTCTTTATTGGTTGATAACCTGTTACACCAGGGGTGGGCTGCTACTGGTTCTGCCCGGCTCTATAGAACTGGTACCTCTGAAGAGCAGCAGATACAGAACCGGTTCTGTGTTTGCTGCTGTTGGTCCCACCCGCCTGCCCGGGCTCTTACCTGTCCTTTATTTCCTGCTTTTTCAACCTCAACTGCTTTGCGCGGCACAGGTGAGGTTGGAAAAAGTAGGAAAAAAGAGGCTTTCCAAACGCTGCACACCTGCACGCAGTGCTTTTCAGCTGTCCAGGCAGCACAGCTAAAGATTTTTTTACATGCATGCACAGCAAAATGTAGTCAGCAAACCGGTAGTAACACCAGTTGAATCCCACCACTGTGTTACACCTCATGTTATTCCTAGTATCAAGCTATTAAGAACAAATAGCAACATTTTTTTTTCTTATCTTAGATTTTATAAGCCCATTATAGAGTAGACGAATGGCATAAAAATTTAATGAATTAGAAATAAATAGTAATAATTACTGAATTACACAGCCATAATTATGCTCACACATAAATTGTAAGCTTGGTGTTAATGTCTTGTCCTCATCCTAGTTCAGGAGGATTATTTATATATAGTCTTCAACGAGGGTGAGATTCAAATTTTTAACAACTGGTTCTGTGGGCGTGGCTTAGGTGGTGGGCATGGCTTGGTAGTCATGTGACTGAGCGGACATGGCTTGGAGGTCATGTTATTGGCTGTATGTGGCCAACTCAATATCACTCACATCGAGGCACGCATCTCCTCGCCTGGCCTCTCGTGACTGTGGGGATGCTGCAACAGTCGTAAGTGTGAAAAATGGTCATAAGTCACTTTTTTCAGTGCCATTGTAACTTTGAATGGTCAGTCCACACAAGCAAAGTACCAGCAAAGGAGGGGAAAAAAACTCCAGAGAAGTTCCTGAGACAGGAAGTCTAGTCCTGCCAAGAACGTAATAAGGGTTAACGGAGAGGCAGTTTCTATAAGCAACACCAGAATGTTTCCTTCCTGCCTTCCTTACAGGATTAGGCCAGTAATTTCTTCTAACAACTGGTTCTCTGAACTGCTTAGAATGTTAACAACCGGTTCTAGCAAATAGGTGCGAACTGGTAGAATCCCACCCCTGGTCTTTAACTTACAATCATTTATTTTGGTGACCTTTCAAAAATTAGAATGGCACTGAAAAAAGTGACTGATGACAGTTTTTCACACTTGCAACCACTGCAGTATCTCCATATTCACATGATCAAAATTCATACACTTGGCAACTGGCATGCATTTATGGCGGTTGCAGTGGTATGTGACTACCTTTTACGACCTTCTGACAAGCAAAGTCAATGAGGAAGTCAATTCACTTCACAACCATGTTACTATTTTAACAACTGTAGTGGTTCACTTAAAAACTGTGGCAAGAAGCGTCAAAATGGGGCAAAACTCACTTAACAAATGTCTAATTCAACAATAGAAATTTTGGACTTAATTATGGTTGTAAGTCGAGAACTACTTGTAGTGTTAGTATACATCTTTGTAAACACCAAACAACCAGGAGCAAGATTTACTTTCCATTTTTCATAAATGTATTTCTTCTTTTTCAAAGTCATATAATTGAATTACCTTTACTACTGTATACTAATTTAAGCAATTTATTTTTTTTGATAAAGTTATATTTACTGTTAGTCTATACAGGTAGTTCTCGACTTACAACCACAATTGAGCCCTAAATTTCTGTTGTTAAGTGACACATTTGTTGAGTTCTGCCCAATTTTGTGACCTTCCTTGCTACAGTTGTTAAGTGAATCATTGCAGTTGTTAAATTAGTAACCTGGTTGTTAAGTGAATCTGGCTTCCCCATTGACTTTGCTGGTCAGAAGGTCACAAAAGGTGATCACGTGACCTTGGGACGCAGCAGCAGTCATAAAGATGAGCCAGGTGCCAAGTATCTGAATTTTGATCACATGATTCACTGGGATGCTGCAAAGGTTGTAACTGAAAAACAGTGTGGTTATAACTTTGAACGGTCACTAAATGAACTGCTTGTCAAGGACTAACCATATTGTTGCGTGATCCTAGGCTTATCTGCTCTGAAAGAAACAACTATCTTTGTTCACAACTTCCTGAATCTCTTCCAAGTCACCTATCCTCAAATGTTAGCATTACAAACCTATTTTCTCTATCCATAGTATGTGGGATTTAATTCATCCTTCTCATAACCATCCCTATGCATGCTTTTCTAAAGTTAAAAAAAACACCTCTGTAATCTTTTTATAATACATTCTGTATTATAATCTGTGGAACGCTTCAGAATTGCACATCGTATTTAATAGTGGTAAATTGTATAAAG